TGTGTTCATGGGAGTGAAGGGCGTGTGTGTGTTCATGGGAGTGAGTTTGGGCTGCTAGAGGAGATAGGGCACTCCTTATGGGGGGAAAAAGCTCGTTTCTATCTGGTCCTGCAGAAGAGGTGGGAAAAGGCAAATAGTGTGAGACTGATGATAACAGGTTCTCAGCCTTCAGCCTTTCCTATAACAAATATCTTGCAGTGAATCCTTTACTTCACTGAACTGAAATTCATCAATGATACAACCTACCTACACACATGACTTTTAAAAAGTCAACATACTTCCCTATCTGTGCCATAAAGTGGCAATGAAAAAGAATAATTTGTAATAAAAGAACATGATCTGTACTTTACCGTGTGCGTGTTGAGCCCTGACTAAGCCAGAGGTTGTAATGAAGGAGGCGGATGCTTGCAGCTGTGCATAGACTCACAAGTGTGGGACTCTGCAAGTGCGCACACACACACAGGTGCTGACTCAGCACCTCCAGCATGTTGCCATCAATGAAGTGATTTAAAAAATGTTGAACATTTGATGGCAAAGTCATTCTTCCCTAAATTTACACAGGACTGTAATTGCATTCCTAGAAAGCTCATTGTATAATAATACCATTTTTTAAACAGTATTAATTTCTAGGCTCAGATAATTAAACACAGGTTTTCACCTACATGAACGTCCTAGGGGACATTTGAGATTCTGGATGAGGGACAATTCATTGTGCAGGCTGCGCTTGGAAGACTATCTTATTCCTCTGCCTTACTCATCAGTGCCAACGAGGATCCCCCCATCGCTGTAATTACAAAAGAAAAGCCCACAGCTTTTTTTAAACATTCCCTAGGGAATGGTTGAGACCCACTGAGCTAGAAAATGGGCAAAAGAGAAGAGACTGGGGCAGGACTTCTAACCACTCAAAGCGAGAGCCACCCCTCCTCTGAGTGGCCTGCTGTCCTCCCAGCAGGGCAGGACCAAGAAATGTGAGTGTCAAGGAAAATAATGTTCTTGACCCCAGGGTGAGAAATTTCCCAGACTACTTTGAAAAGAAGAGTTTCCTGCCTGTGCCCAGTCTGCAGCTAGTTCAGCGGTCCGGCCAGAACACCATCTCCCTGTGCCACTGTGTGGTCCTGGCTGCTGGCCCGGAGGACACCCTTCCCAGACCCAGCATGGCCTTTCCATAGGGGAGGATGTGCACAGACAGGAGCCTACAAGGGAGTCCTCGAGGTCCTCCTCTCATCCTCATTCTGGCAACTAGTCCCTGGCTTCCCCAAAGTCCTGACTGCTTTGAGGGCAGTGAAAGAGTAGAATGCCCCCTGGAAGAGGAGTCTGTGATAAAACGAAATTGGAAATTATTCTGGTGATCTTTATTGCCACACCGCTGGTGCTAAACCGGGAAAGGTGACCACCGTCCCGTCCAAATCACAGGGTATTGGTTTCGCACCTTGGAATGTATCCATTCAATGGAATAGCTATGAAAACATTTTAAAAAAGAAACTAATGACATTAACATGGGAAAATATGAGAATTTGAGGGGAAAAAAGCAGAATACAAAATTTGTACAACTGTGGTATATATATGTTTAAAGCTGGAAGAAAATGCATCAGAATGTTAACAGTAATTGCCTCTGGGACCATGAATCAATGGCCTCCTTTGTGGTGGTGTTATTCAATTTTTGCTCAAATGTTTTACAAGTGTTACCTTTATAACCATTTCTTTTCAACTGCCCTAAGCACTTGGAAACTGTTCACCTTTTTCCACCAATAGCTGCAATTTCCTCCTTTCACACTGTTTCATCCTCAGACGTCCCTTCCCAGATCCCGGCCCACTTTCCTCAGGACCCTTGCTGAGGTCTTCCCCAGCAGTATCCCAACCCCACCCTCCCACAGCCAATCCACTCCTTGCCTTCCACACCGAGCACCAAACTCCTCTCCTCTGGGAAGGACCCACTCAATCCCGTCCCCTAGTCCTTGTGCCTTTGGTGACACCGAAAAGGATACTTTTCAGAGATGGTAGCATTCCTGCTCAGATTATCTGAGAACGGGACCCGTCTTCCTGTTCATTTTATTTCCCATCCTTCCTCTTCCTTCCCTGTCTTGCCTCATCTTCTGCCCGTAGAGTACAGAGCCCAGAACTTAACACCCCACAAGCCCTGGTGATATATTAACCAAAGTAGCCAAATTAACGATGGTCTGCTGGGTGCTAGGTGACTTCAGAGGGCATCTAACATAATTCTTGCCCAGCCATGCAAAGTACATATAATGGCCTGAGTTTGGAGACCAGTCAACTGCGATTTGGGGAAAATAGGTACAAATCAGAGGTCACCCAGCTATGAAATTGACGGAGCCAATATTTGAACTCAAGCCTCTTGGTCCGTTTCCAAATTCTTAACCCTAACCCTCCTCTGGCCCAACTTCCACGCCGAGGCATCCTTGTCGGAGGTCAAGGAGCATCTCAGTGTTTCCCATCCAAATTAGTGGGGAATGGTCTGTGTGAGAAGGGGGGTATTCAGTTGAAAGTCGCGCCTTCAAGGACGGTCGTCTGTCCTACGCAGCTCCTGCGATTTAGATAACGGTGTGGGACGAAGGCTTAAAATTCAAACATGAAGTTATTTACAAGCCAAGCCTCACCTTGGCTTTTTCGTGAGGGCTGGAACCCTTTCTGCCATACTGCAGCACCACCAAGACATTCCCGTTGGTCTGCGAGTGCTCCCCCTTCCCCGTGTAATGGGATGGGCTCACTGCACTGCCCCTGGCCAGGAGAGGGTCAGCAGTAAGGGAAACCTTTCTTTAGCAAATGCCCTCAACTGCTCCCAATGCCCAGTTCTAGTCCAGTTGTGCATTCTTGACTGGGCAGGCCATGGGGCTTTGTGCCAGGAAAAGGAAACAGCAAAGTTACAAAGTTATTTCCAGTATGCCTTCCCAGGCATGTACAGGGAAACCCAGAGTGCAGTTCAGAAACTTCAGCGAGATACAAAAGCCCCTTTGCAGTTCCTGCAAAGGAACTGCCCCCTCCCCTCCCACAAGATGCTCAGGGTCTGGGGACTCACGGGTGCTCAGGGCCAATCGCCAGATTACAAGGTTGACACTGTTGCTTCTGTAAATAACTTCTCCGTAAGGGAGGCCTTCTGTAATAAATAAATGAACACAATGTCATGAAATGCTAGGCTAACCTAAACAACAGAAAGGAAAATAGTTAGCTTGTTTGTCCCTCCTTCTGGAGGGTATGTGGGGCCAGGTTAACAGATTTAGAAAAGATCCAGTTCTCACAGACAAATGCAGTGAGTATTTCTATTCCTGGAACTACAAGAGGATCGGATTTTTAAGATTTCAAAACAAAACTAGTATTATGTTTAGTTAAATATATGTAATTAAGTATATACCAGGTATGAATGTTCATACCAACCCAAAAAGCGTATGTATCGTAATGCATGTATGCATTTGGGCATCGGGTTGGTAGAGTTTTTGTTTGTTCATTTTGCTGTAACAGATTTCTCTCATTATGTCCAGTTCAGGAACCGATAATGATTGTTCATTTATTCAGAGCACACCAGGACACCATCCAAATACTCAGAGAAAAAAGACACATCACCGCATTTTTTTTAAAAGATTTTTAAAAATTTATTTGACAGAGAGACACAGCAAGAGAGGGAACACGAGCAGGGGGAGTGGGAGAGGGAGAAGCAGGCTTCCCGCGGAGCAGGGAGCCCGATGCGGGGCTCGATCCCAGGACCCCGGGACCACGACCTGAGCCGAAGGCAGACGCCCATCGACTGAGCCACCCAGACGCCCCTCATCACCACATTTTTCTAGTAGAAACTACGGAATGCTGGGAAGTCCACTATTTGACATGTGTGTACAGGTCTAACATCTGTAATAAGCACAAATATATCTCTGCAGTAAAATACATGAGTTTTTTTTTAAAGATTTATTGATTCATTTGAGAGAGAGAGAGCATGAGCGGAAGGGCAGAGGGAGAGGGAGAGAGACTCTCAAGCAGATACTTCGTTGAGCGTGGACGTGGAGCCTCACGCAGGGCTCAGTCTCTCGACCCTGAGATCGAGGACCTGAGCCAAAACCAAGACTCAGTCGCTCAACTGACTGGGCCACCCAGGTGCCCCCAAATACATGATTATTAACATTAGGTGCAGTAAATAAAGACCATGAATACCTTCACATCTGGTGTTGCCACCAGATGAGTTAAAAACAAAATTTTTGCTTTTCAGAGCACTGTGGGTTTTGGAATTACAGAATAGGGTGTGTGGAACAGTGTACAAACATGAAAAAATA